ATAAGTCACTTTTTTTCAGTGCTGTTGTAACTTTGAGTGGTCACTAAACAAACTGCTTTAAGTCAAGGACTATCTGTAGTTTGCAGAAATAATTTTTCCCTTTTTTCTCACAGTTCTGAAAATCGATGGCATGATTTGCTGCTTTATAGAAGTGGGAAACAAATAAAACTTATTATCCTAAACTATTATCCAGAGAGTAGGGGCTGCGCAAAATGTTTGAAGGATTATGTGAAACATCCTTTAAAGCAGCTTTCCAAAACTGACAGGGCTCTCCCCCTCTTTCCCTTTTAAATAGCAGTTTCTGCAAAGGTAGTTTCTGGCTAAGGGAGATGGGGGGGGGGGAAAGTGCTTTGCATTGACTCAGAGAAGTAAGTAGCTTCAGTTGAGGCAAATTGTTCCCATCATGCACTACCTCAGAAGATCATTATAAATAAAGAAAAGAGCAAACTCTCCAAGTTCTAAAGAAAAGAAAAACAGGAAATTACTAATCCAAATATGCTGTCTCTCAAAATTACCTCCCTCAACTCAGTGTTTCAAAATCACAGATATTTCTCATCTGCAGTCCCCCGCTATCCTGTGTACAGCAGTCTAAAGTAGGGTTTTGTGCATTGCTGGTCAATTTGCTTATACAGAAAGGGACCCATGCATTTTACTAAGTGGGAATTACCAAATTAGAGAACTAACCGTAGATCAAAAATGACAGCAGTGTTTCAGACTTGAGTAATAAAAAAGTAAGTGGCAGCCAAACCATTAAAGAATTGAATAACATAATAGCTGCATTAGGGCCAATATTTATTTGCCAGTCAACTTCTAGCACTATATATCCATCAGCTAAATATAACTTTGATAAATTAACTAGATTAAAGTAGAGCTCTAAGAATAAAAAAAAAATGTGGGCAGCCTTGACTGGCTAATGTTTACACAAGCATCCCTGTAGCTGTGACTTTAGAATTTGCATTTTTGGATGTGCTATCCTCAAAATGACAGAAACCAGGCTGATTTTGGGGGGGAACTGTGGATATAATGGGTTTTGGGAGATTCTAAAAAGGGTGTAGAGGCTGCGTACAACCTTAGATTGTCACAATGCTCTCTGGAGCATCAAGTACTTAAAGATTAAAACAGTTCAATATATTTTATTAATTTTCTGTTATTACAATTCCTTAGTGCTTAATGAACAATGTGTTGTCTGGGTTAGTTTATTATGCTTAGTAATACCAATTAAGTTCTCTTTTATTATGATAGTGTTTCAAGCCATTTGATTTGTATCCCGTTCTTCTTGCAGTGTGTTGCGCTATAGCTGTGGGTGAGGAAATGGAATATCCTTTCTGCATGGTCCTTTTGCAAGCCTATTGGGACTCACCTCTTTGCCAGGACAAATGGTAAAGAGTCATCATACTTTGTAATCCTATAGAAGTTCATTGATATTCTATATTTCTATAGAGGGAGTGCATCAGGAAGGTACATTGAGTGATGCCCTAAAGCAGGGGTTCTCAACCTTGACACTTTAAGACTTGTGGACTTCAACTCCCAGAATTCCTCAGCCAGCTTTGCTGATTGAGGAATTCTGGGAGTTGAAGTCCACAAGTCTTAAAGTGGCCAAGGCTGAGGACCCCTGCCCTAAAATGCATATATCTTTCCCTCCCTCCCTCCCTCCCTCCCTTCCTCCCCCCCACTCTCTCTCTCTCTCTCTTTCTCTCTCTCTCACACACACACACACAATAGTACCCTCTCTCTTGGGGTTCCAAAAATCCCTTAAAATCTGCCTTTCTTCCCAGGCCTGAGGTTAATGTTTTGAGGGGTTGGGGAAGGATTCTAATGCTTTGTTTTAAGCAGTGTTTTAGTATGGGCTGTTTTGTCTATATTTTTAGCTTTTTAGTATTACATTTTGTAATGCACCCAGAATCCACTGGATTGGGTGGCTATAATAAATTTAATTAAACTAATACTAAAAAATAAAATTGACATTGTGACTCAAACAGTGATGATAGATAATCCTGGGGATAGGCTGTCCACATATTTATTTTCAGAATACTTACCCTCAGTGATGGGATTCAGCTAGTTCGCACCACTTCGGCAGAACAGGTAGGTAATTTTTTGTTGCCCAGGCCCAGAATGGACTACCTGGAAGCAGCATCCACACAGAGAACCGGTTGTTCACATATTTGAATCCCACCACTGCATACCCTGTTCTTTAATTAAAGTAGCTTACAAATATCACTTAATTCCTAATTTCAGGATAATGCAATATTGGTGTTCGCATGCACACAAAAGTAGTTTCTGGAGGAAGAGGGAAAATCAACTAAAGGACTAGTTTTTAATTTATTTTAGAAATATAGATATAAAGTACATGGTTATTTCTCCTGATTCTAATGCATAGCTCTACTGAGCCTTTTAATTCAAGCTTAGGAACGAAGCCAAAGTTTCCATTCACATGATGGACGGGCGGATAGGAGTCATATTTGCTCCAATCCACCAGGAGATGTTAGCGCCCCTGTGGGTCGTATTAAAAGGGTCGAGATCGGACCACGACCCGTTTATGCCTCCATATGGGCACTAAGCGGCACTTCATTATCCTCGATGCAGCAGCGCATGCTTGGAATCATTAAGGCGGTTTGAAATTTCAGTGGGCCAGGTAGGAAGCATAGCCAAAGGTACTTGGGTAAATAGGAGCTTCAAGTGAATTGCGTTGCAAGCGGACCTAGAGAATTCAGATTGGCAACCGAAACATGAACCCACCTACTTTAAACATTTGTGCTTTGCACGTATCTGTTCAAATGAGTTTGGATCAAAAATGCTTTCTGGGTGTTTGAAAAAACGTCCTTGTCCACATATATTGTTTATATTTTTCACATGTGTTGATTCAGCAATTTTTATTTTCCTCCTAAAGAGAGAGTCAGGCAACCGTAAAACTGACACTCAAAACGTAGGTATGGGGTTGTAATTTTAAAAGACTTCCCATTTTGGGGGTTGGCATTTTGTGGTAAGTCATGGTTTGCTAAACTGTTGAACAAACTACAGTTCTTTTCCATTCAGTACACCAAGAGTAAATTATGCATCATAGTTTGTAAACTTCAGAAGCCATGTTTTCAGAAAATGCTGTGCTTTAGTGAATTAATACAGCTGACTTCATTTGCACAATACAGTACACTGAACAATAAACTTAACCAACCACACAGAATTCAAACAATGCATGGAGAAGCAAATTGGACAAGTAATTCACAAAAATAATACTAGAATTAAACATGATGTTGCCTAGCTTTACATTTTAGGCCTGCTAAAATGAGATAGGATAGTGTGTGGAACACCACATATCTTAGCATGTATGAAATAGGCCATTCACTTTTAGATATAGTATTTATTTGGGCATGGTATGTTATGTGAAAGTTACTGGGGATAGGTTTAAACATGTGAACACAGCAATTAAGGTTTTGTGTTATATGTAAACCAGCTTCGGTGTGAAAATATGTTAGTGAAATAGGGAAAGGAAAACAAAACAATTCTTTTATATTGGTCCATAATGTGTATATATAAGCTATTTTACTCTATTTACTTCTGTGAGACCCACTTCTTCAAAATTTTGCCTCCTTTTGTTTCAGAAAAGAGCGATGTCATGTTTAGGTATATGAAAGAAATAGCTTCATTCTGACTGTGGTGTTTCAACCATTGTTTTTTGCATACATATCAATTAGCTAGAATAATACATTTTAGGCTAAAAACTATTATTTACAATCACATTGTGCACTGCCATTGTGCACTTTTTTTTCTACAAAAAGATCCTTTCTGTAGACTTTGGAATTTCCTCTCATCATGATTGCTTCATCCTGGCAGTAGAGTTCAGTTGCTCAAGAGGAGTTTGTACTCATTTGTATATGTCTAATTGGTTTGTGCAAAGGCTGCAATAGTGTCTGCAGAAAACTCTGCAGATCTTGAGGAAGATCTGAATCCAATGGCACAACTCTAGCGTGAAAGATGCATAGGTACCAAATAGGTGGTACCTAGCTCAGCAGCAGTAACTGAGGGAGTTCTAGGTGTCCTGTTGGACCCCCACTTAAGTATGAGTCAGCAGTGTGCTACAATTGCCAAAAAAGCCAACCCAGCCCTGGGCTGCATCAACAGAGGGATAGCATCAAGATCATAAGATTTATACTGCACTAGTGAGTCCACACTTGGAATACTATGTGCAGTTCTGGTCACTATGATACAAGAAAGATGCTGAGACTCTAGAACAGTGTTTCTCAACCTTGACAATTTTAAGGCATGTAGACGTCACCTCCCAGAATTCCACAGCCAGCTGGCTGTGGAATTCTGGGAGTTGAAGTCCACATGCCTTAAAATTGTCAAGGTTGAGAAACACTGCTCTAGAAAGTATAGCGAAGAACAACAAAGATGATAAGGGATCTAGAGGCTAAATCGTATGATGAATGGTTGAGGCATCTTGGCAGAAGGATTGGAGGGACATGATAACTGTCTTTCAATACTTGAGGAACTGTCAGAGACACAGATTGTCTTATTCTCCAAAGCATCAGGGGACAAGAAGTACTGTGCGGAAGCTTGTTAACGAGAGATGTAACCTAGAAGTATGAAGAAATTTCCTGAGAGTAGGAACGATTAATCAATGGAATAGCATGCCTCCTGCAATTGTGAGTGTTCCATCACTGGAAGTTTTCAAAAATAAACTGAGCAACCATTTCACTGGGATGGTATAAAGTCTCCTGTCTTGAATATAGAGTTGGATTAGAAGACCTCTAATGTCCCTTCCAGCTCTATGATTCTATGTTCTATTCTGTCGTCTCTTCTAGTAGTCCATCCACTCCTTGTCTGAAAGATTTCTTAGCTGTCACTTCCTTTTGTTTTTCCTTCAAGGCACACACACACACATCGAAACTATATGCTAACTCCCCTGGCAAGATGTAATTAGCTACTGCTGGCTTTACCTATTCCAGTCTCATATTTTCTGTAAATAAAAAAATCCCTCAGTTTTAATTACAAAACCTGCTTACCTAATTGTTGTTCAGGTCAGACTCCACAGTCAGGTGCTGGAAATGCATATGTAACGCCATTTGCATGAGATCATGCATGCTACATAATTGGCCCCCTCTCCAAACTCCTCCACAGAGGCCTAAGGTGGGTTGACTATGTACTGGAAAGAGAGCTCAGGAAGGGGAAGTAAAAAAGAGCCAGCCTAAAAGTAGAGAAAACAGTGGAGTTTAAGAATAATTGCACATTCCCAGACTACGCTCAATATACTGTCACTTTTATACCTGTACTTTTATAAGCACTAGGATCTACCTAAAGTCCCCCAAACACCTAAGAAGAACAGGATTGGACTACTTGACAATATATATTTGAAATTAGCAACTAGTTATTTGGCAGCAGTTTCAGAGAAGGGACTGATAATGTTAGATTTGCGCCATTGAAAACCTTATATTTAATCGTAATTAAAGAGTAGCTACTTTCCGTAGCAAAACCTTGGCCATACAAGGTCTGCCCTTGTAAGTTTTGATTAGTATTCCTTGCCAGGATTCCTTCTTCGAACTACAATTCCCAGAATTCTTTTGGGAGAGGGACAGCTATGACAACCATAAACCCATTTAAATTTGTCAGGCAGACGTCATCTAACTTCCTCTAAGCTCGCTGTCATTTAACGGCATTCCGGCTGATTTTCCCCGTCTGCCTCCGCCTCCCGAGACCTCCGCGGTTGATCGTGCGCGCCGTTTTGTCGGTGCGCCCAGGTTCTTCTGTAGCCTTCTCGCGTGCTTTGTAATACAGCAACTGTGGCAAAATCGGCTTCATTTGATCGCAAGTGACGCCTGCGTTTCTTGGAAGTGGGTGGAAAGAGTAGTCTATACAATTTCACTGCCGTCGGTTGAAATGACCACCCCTGTACAGAGTCTCTTCCATTGAAGCCCAGTAGATGAAGCGTGGGGAAAATGGGTTTAGGACCGTCGGCTTCTCATTTGCCGAAAGGACCAGTCGTTTAAAAGAGATTAAAACTTTTTAACATTGTATTAACGGATATAGTTATACCTAGTTTCTCTTTAAACATCCAAACAACCATTGTATACTATAAACAGATATACGTTGTTTCTTTTCAAACATTCAGATCTTGTTTATTGGCTTAGCTTTATCAAGCAAGGTATCTCCCCCACGTCATCTAAAAGATAACGTTGTGTGTGTATGTGACTCTCTCTTTCATACCGTTTGTTAACTGGCTTTCTCCTTGCAACCAATTTGCTTGTTCTCTTCGCTTTTTGACCCGCCTACCTCATAAGGAAATCTAAAGTTAACCCTTTATTCGCACAACTCTGAAGCCGTCCTTTCCTACCGCATCCCGGGGCACTCGCTCTGTGGCACCGGTCGGACTAAGGAGGTTTGTCCGCTCTCCTGCCCGGGCTGGGCGCTCCAGGGAGAGCCAGCCAGTCAGCCGGCGCTATTGCATCCATCTGCTCGCCATTCATTGTCCGGGATTCGCCTGCTTCACACGAGCAGCTCGAGCCGAGCCGGTGGCGAGCAGCGGAGCGGGAAACGGCGCTGCACCGCCAAGCGACAGGAAGAAGCGGAGGGCGGTGCGGCGGCGGAGTCGCCTCCCCTTACTCCCCGCGCCTGCCTTCCAAGCCCGCGTAGACTCTTCGGAGCAGCCGCCTCTTCGCCATCCACCGAGCAGGAGGGGACTCGCTCTTCGAGCCGCAGAGGCGAGAAACTGTGAGGCGGCGCCGGTGCCGAAAGCAGCGAAAGAGAAAGCGAGACAAAAGAGGGCGAGAGCGAGGAGGTGAGTGGCAGACGGAGAGGAGGCTCGAAGCTCGGCTTTCCTGCGGCTCGGGCTTCACTGCTCCAGGGGGCGGGCGAGGCCAGGTAGACGTGTTCTCTCCCCAACATCCCATGCCCGATCCTCCAGTCTCAGCTTGCAGCCGAGGCACTGGTGGACGGGCGCACTCGCGGTCCTTCCAGTTGAAGGCGATCGGGGACACGCCGGGTTAACGAAGGGGGTGGGGGCGGCGGCGGCGTGGCTGCGAGACTCGGGCACGTGAAAACAGAAAGTGCTCTTCCGAGGAGGAAGAAAACCAGCCCTGGGTGATAAAAAGTGCCAAAGGCCTTCCTGCATGTCTGTATGTAACTGCACCAGTGTGTGAGAGACCTACGCCTTTAGAATCCACGCTGGGGCCGATTTATGTTTTCCCCTGTGTTTCAATTGATTTAATAAATGCGGGTTTTTATCCCCTCTGGCGCTGAAAGAGACATACGGTAGCCTGGCGAGAAGTCGCGAAAAAGCATTGAACCACCGCAGGGAAAACACTAGATTTTTTTTTTTTAAGGGTTTGGTTGATGGGGGTGGGTGGGCTGCACTGCTGCTAAACTAGGCAGTCTTAGGGATGGAAGCAAGAAGGGCTCTCGCAGTGGTAAAGAAGAGGAAATATTTCCCTCTCTGCCATTTTTGCAGAAAGCAAAGCCTCATTAAAAATGTAAGTCTTTGAAAGTTAAGTAAGGGTGAACAGTGCCCTGTGTGGTTTCCCAATGATGAGTTAAAGGACTGAGAGCTTTTCTTATTGCTCTCCTACATAGATGGTGTATAAGAACTAAATTAGTATTTTGGCATTTTCTTATGGATTTAAAGCATGTGAGAGCACATGATATGCTTCTCCCCTTTACATATGGGTACGGTGTAATGGCATTGATGCCCTTAATAGGAATTTCAGTCTGATAAATTGGAAGAAAGTGAGAATCTTTGGATACTATGATGTTTATATTTGGTGGAAAGGTATCTCAATCCTTCTGGATACTTTTAGGAGGATATTTTAAAAACTGCTTCTTTTGCCTGAGTGTAATACTAGCACAGCGGAAAAGCTAGTTAGCTAGTGCTTTAACAGGTTGTTCAGCACTACAGTAGTATTTTTTTGGCCTCAAGAACCAATGATAGTTTTACTTTTTTTTTCTGTTATAAGAGAGGGTGCGGTACCTGCTCTGTAATGCCGCACTGCTAGCAGCAGATAGCAACCAGGGCTTCTATGCATGTACGGAATAATATTTCTGCCCTCTTTCAAAGTGTTACCAGAAGAACAGAGAAATGTTGCTTTGGGCATAATACTTTAAATTTCTTAAGAAATTTTTTTTTTACAAACCTCTGCAAAAAATTCAATACTGAATTAGGCCATAATTGATAACAATGTGCAAGATGTTGTTTATGTTCAAATGTATTTTTTAAAAAAATATGTTTTTCTGATCAACTTTAATCCTCTTCAGCCTTTCATATTTGTAGTACCCTAGTCTTAAGTACCTTCATTGATAATGAAATTTCTTAAAACTAATAAACTTTAGTTTTACTGTACACTGCCTTTCTATGATAATTTTTGCCTGATATTGTGGATTTCATTGTGATATAGTAGGTTTTAGTTTGACAGTGGTCCGTTTGCTAGAAGGTTTTGAGATTTATATAGTTTGAAATCAGTGTCCTGCTTTAAAAATGTATTTAAGTCATGATTAGAAAGACTCTGCTGCAAGACCACCCTTAGCTATGAAAGTATGTTGAGTGACTATGGGCTTGTTACTCTCTGTCAGTTCGACCTACCTTCCAGGATTGTTGTATGGAAACATTGGAAGAATTGTCTTGAGTTTCTGGAAATAAAGTGAATTATAAGTCCAATAAATAAATGTAGTCATATTAAAAATAGTGAAATAACATGCACTCATTTCTAAATAGTGAATGCATATTTTAATGAAGGCTTTTTTACGAAAAAATGTGGATGATTGATTTCAGAGTTTATTGAGTACTGATTATATACTGATTAAATAGTTATGAGCCATAGTTGGGAAGAAATGTTGACTATATCACAGTATGGCACATGCTTATTATTCTGTCCATTATATTGATTGGGATATTTTATTCCCCAGTGCTTGCTTAGAGATTGGAGAAATGTACTGCATTTATCATATTATGAGATATGCATACACCCAGGCAAAAAGTGGTTCTTTGATATGGAGCCATGGTTTTTGGTAGATTACACTTGTTTTATGTTGGAATAAAACATAATGGAAGAAGGCAGTGGCATTTTCATATTGCTCCCTTCCCCTCAAAACATGGATGTTTCTGTGAAATCAACATGTGCTTGTGACTTTACAATTTTTACATGGTAACAGGACCTAATCTTCCTGTAATAAGAGCAGTGCTTTTTTTCTAAAAAAAAATAAATAAAAGGTGCCGGAACTCACACATGTCATACAACCCACCTTGCCTACCCTACAAGGTTCCATCCCAAAAAGGTGCCGGAACTCCGTTCTGGGCGTTCTATGAGGAAAAAAAGCCCTGAATAAGAGTAAATGATGATTGTTCAAATTAATCTTTCCAGGAGAGAGAGAATGCTAGATAAATTCTTAATATGGGTCTAAGTCTTCAGGAAGAACACTGTAGACATAAAAGCCTTCTCTGTTAATTGCAGCCCAACAAAGTTGCCTTTAAATGTTAACGATGCGTTATACATTTTGGTAAATGGAGGTAGGGATATCCTCAGCTTTTTCTGTTGTTGAGTCATTTCTCATTGCGCCCTCATTTTACCTTTTGGCCCTATGTTAGGCCTAAAATACACCATTGTTGGCAGTATAAAAGTAACTCATGCTGTTTTTCTAAGCCCGGCACAAGGTCCCACACATTTATGCCCAACTTGGTAGCTTTATTAGCATGCTCCTCCAGTTAGCTCAGCTAGTATATTAGAAATGTAAACATTAACCTTAAACTTAATCTTGGTTTAATTTCAACTCAAAGGACATGACACTACCCTTATGTTTTCACTTTTGAGCCTTCTCACCTCTATTATGATCTGTTCCATTGAAACCATTAATCTCAATAATATTTAATCTCTATCTGAGCTTTCTGCTTCTAATATAACCATCATAAAGTCTTTACTTATGCCAGCTACTACACAGTAAAAATCATGTCTGTTTTTACTTCCTCTTCTCTCACAGATTTTAGATTTTAACTGACTTTTCACCATTGTTTCTCTGCAAAGTGCCTTAATGGGTACTACATATTAATAGCCAATACTAGAATTTGATCAAAGATTTGTTTTTCTAGTATAGTTTTTATCTATGTAATAACAATTGATTATGTTAATGGCCATTTCTTTATAAATGCCTCTGCAAACTTACGTTTTGTTTACATTTTTCAATTATAAAGTAAGATATTTTTGCTAGCTTCCACTTAATTTCCATGATTTATTAGGTTTGAACATTTCTGATAGGGTTGATATTTTTCAGAACTTGCAGTATTTCTTCTACTTTTTTCCCCCTTTAGTCTGTGTCTGTCTTTTTAAAAAAATTATATCGCCACTTCCTCTTTGCTAGAACATGCAAAGTTGAAGCGTTATAAATCTCAGGTTGTGAAATACTTGCATTTGAACTGTTCCATTAATAGTCAGTTCAATAGAAATATTTTACTCTTGAAAACATTTGAATAAATCATTACAAGACTGGGTTGATACAATATACACACCTGTTTAAGCATATTAATTTCTCAGTTTTAAAGTGAAGCTTATATGCATATACAGACACACATGCACGCATAAATACATGCAAAACATTTTATGTTTTTAAAGTATCTTTACAAATCTTTCAGTTTTATTCGGAATTAAATTCTAATGTTTGTAGTTGTGCTTTACAGGGACTACAAGCAGTATAAGGGTCAGAATTACTCAAATGCCCCTCCCCCCAACTAATTGTTTTGTGAGGAATGAAAGCAAAATTACTGTGTGGACCTTAAAGCTAAAGAACAATTGCTTATCCCTATATTATACTTTCCAAACATACTGCTGTAACTAACAAAAATCCTGGGATTTTTCAGATTTTCATTTTCAGGTTGAAACCCTGTAACCCTAGAGCAGAGGTAGGCAACCTTGGCTCTTTTATGGCTCTTTCCCAGCTCAGGAATTCTGGGAGATGAAGTCCACGAGTCATAAAAGAGCCAAGGTTGCCTACCCCTGCCCTAGAGAGCAGTGAGATTTACCAAACCTGTGGTTGGATATGAAATTTTGAAAAGATAGCAATCTGTTTCATTAGGACATACGTAAGCAAAGATGGTGTCTTGTCATGACAGAAAGGCAGCAAAAGAGAATTTTTAGCATTTTGGCATGATAATATTTTACCTGGTAATAGGAGAAGAATGGCTCTTTGATCTCAGTAAAGAGAGAAAAGTGGACTAAATAATAGAAAAACAGGGAGTAGATTCAAAATTATATATTTTTTAGTGTTTGCAAAGTGTTATGCCTTTATAGATAAATTATTTGGTAACAGAAAACAGTATAGAGAAGTGTTACAGTTACTTAAACATTTTTTTAAAATAAATGCCCTGTAAGATCCAGTAATTATATAATGAAAATGGATCATGAAGCCCAGTCAATTAACCTCTGTCTTGTACATGAAAGTCCGGTTGTGATAGCGTTACTAATTATTTATAGCATTTAGATTTTTTTTTTTAACA